CTCCCCCTCCCCCCATTTTCGCTGACTTTCAGTATTAAGTCAGGGCACAGCTGACGCACGCCGTGGGCGGGCGGTCGTATCAGCGGTTGGCTGTACCGCATGCATGCGTGTTGGCGCGATTGGGTGTCCGCCTATTTTCAGTTTGAGAGCCGGCACGGGAAGCCAACTTATTTTCCAGTTATCAGTCAGATAACTTACTTTCCACTATATTCCTCAGCTCCATTTCCCCTGCGGCCCTTTTGATTCGCGCTGCCGCTGTGCTCTGCTGTGCACTGTGCACCCGACAGTCCCGAGCTCCGCTGCTGCTGCTGCTGCTGCTGCTGACGGCACTGGGACTTCCCTCAGGGTACATCAGGTGCGTGGTGCCTCGTGGAGCCGCGAGTAGCGGTGACTCCGGGCCTTCGGCGTCGTCTTGGTCCTCCGGTTTCGCCGGGTGCAGCGAGAAGAGGCCACTGATCGGGCGCGCGTGCGATCACCCTTCTTCCATTTCCTACTCCACCTCCTCCTCGTCCTCCTCGGGGGCCTCCGTGCCCGGTGTGGTGAAGCAGGTCGTGACGGAGGTCGGTCGTCGCGGTCTGGGCCCCCTAGCGCGCGCGCGCCGCGCTCTAGAGTAGTTGGTGGATTGGTCTGACTGATTGACCGACTGAGCCATGTCGGGACACTCGATGCTGCAGCCGCTCCTCTTTCGGTATCGGGACCGCTGGAGATGTGAGTACTTTCCCATTTGTGCTTGCCTTCTCCATCTTCTATTAATCTTTTGTGGAGCTGGCAACGGATTGTTTTCCCATTATAAACTGAGAAGTGCTAGATAATGCAATTTCAAAATAAAATTAGAACAAGCCGACAATTTAACATCATTTTAAATATGCGAAAGGTTTTTGACTATTTATCGTAAAATCTCTGTCCAGAGTAGTGTTACTGTTTCTGGTATCAATTTCTTTTCCCACCTTTTGCAGCAAGTGGAGATGATGCAGCATCTTCCTCACAAGTTGACAGCTCTGTGGATGTGGCTGATGGAGCTGGAAGTGGAATGGGGTACAGAGTTATATTTGTCAACCGACCTCAACCACAAGTCAACAAATACTGCACAAATTATATTTCAACTGCCAAGTACTCCTTAGTGTCCTTTTTCCCAGCTTTTCTTTTTGAGCAGTTCAGACGGTACTCCAATTGCTTCTTCTTGTTTATTGCCATGCTGCAGGTAAGGCTGCATTTCAAGTAGAACATCCAATTTATAGGTTGTATTCAATTTCTGTTTTTAAAAGAAAGATATTTTATTCTTCTAGCAAATACCTGACGTCTCACCTACGGGGAGATGGACCACCCTCGTTCCTTTGTTATTTATTCTTACTGTTTCCGCCATCAAGGAAACCATTGAAGACATTGTGAGTGGTTTTTTTCTGTTGTTTTTGTATTTTTCAAGAGCTGTTTGTTGTTTTGTTTTTAGAGCCAAAATACTAAGATATTTGTTGTTGTTGTTTTAATAGAAAAGGCACCGTGCAGATAATGAAACCAATCAGAAGGAGGTAGAAGTACTGAGGGATGGACATTGGCAATGGGTGAAATGGCATGCTGTTCTGGTTGGAGATATTGTCAAAGTTCACAATAACAATTTCTTCCCTGCTGATCTTATTGTCTTAGCGACAAGTGAGCCGCAAGCAATGTGTTACATTGAAACCTCCAATCTAGATGGGGAAACTAATTTGAAAGTTCGTCAGGGACTAGCAGACACAGCACATTTTCTAAAGACAGAGGATCTGGCACAGTTTCGTGCTACTGTGGAATGTGATTTACCAAATCGCCACTTGTATGAGTTTAGTGGTGTGATGAAAGAACAAAATAAACAGTAAGTCATTCTTTTTACTGTACTGCTTGATAAAATTCAATTTCTATGCGTCTTAAGCACATTGATTTATTGTTTTAGGAAACTTTCTCTTGGCCCTGACCAAGTGCTACTGAGAGGTTCTCTGCTTCGAAATACCAGATGGGTTTTTGGCTTGGTTGTTTACACTGGCCATGAAACAAAACTAATGAAGAATTCAACCTCTGCTCCTTTGAAGAGATCCTCAGTGGACAAATTAATTAACAAACAAATTCTTATTCTTTTTATGATTTTAATTGTGTTGTGTCTGATTTCTGCTTCATGCAGTGAGTGGTGGTCACATACACATGGAGATAATGATTGGTATTTGGGTCTAGGTATATTTTAAAATCATAGTTTGGTATTCCTTTTTTGTTTTACTTCCCTGTGTTAAAATCTTCATTTCTTCCCCCCCAATTTCAGCATACCCATCAAAAAATTTTGGATACAATCTCCTAACATTTATGATTCTCTATAACAACCTCATTCCAATATCTCTTCAAGTAACTTTGGAGATGGTTCGTTTCATTCAGGCCACATTTATTAACATGGATATTGACATGTATCATCCTGAAACAAACACACCTGCAATGGCAAGAACATCCAACCTCAATGAAGAACTTGGAATGGTAAACATTTAAATCAACGTAAAATATACTATATATAGTTCTTTTCTAATGAGTCGTTAAATAAATTTGTAGGTGAAATATATATTCTCGGATAAAACGGGAACTTTGACTCGGAATGAAATGGTCTTTAAACAGATGAGTGTGGGAGGCATTTTCTACAAACCAGCTGAAAACTTAAAGGATACTCTATTATTCCAGGTACACATTATCTTTTTGAAAAGATTGGCCTTCTTGCTTTGTTGTGTTGTGCTTTGTTGGCTCTTACCCTTTTACTGTCCAATTATCACTTTATAAAGGTTTACTTATAAAATGTGGGTTTATTTTCAGCATATTGATCAAAATCATGAAAATGCCAGCCTTCTTCGGGAATTTTTAGTGTTGATGTCAGTTTGCCACACAGTTATACCTGAGCAAATGTCAGATGGAGTTATACAGTACCATGCCTCATCTCCTGGTGAGTTGTGGTCATTGTTCTCTTTATGACCGTAAAACATAAAACTATTTTACACTCATATCTTTGTTCTAGATGAACGAGCGCTAGTTCAAGGTGCATCTATGTTTGGTTTTACATTTGATACTCGAACACCAAGCTCTGTGGAAATCATGGCTTTGGGAAAAAGAGAAAAATATGAAATACTGCATGTGATAGAGTTCACAAGCACAAGAAAACGCATGTCAGTAATAGCCCGCACACCAGATAATAAAATAAAATTGTACTGCAAGGTGAGGTTATCAGATCTTAAAATGTTCTTAAAAGAAACATATTTTATGAGTATCTAATTTCTCAAAATACTTGTATGATTAGGAAAAGTAAACACATTTAAGTTTCTAAAAATATTTTATTGAACTGTTTGCTAACAGGGTGCAGATACTGTTATTTATGAGCGATTAAGTCAAGGGACTCAAAAAGCCAAAGAGCAAACTCTAAAGCATTTAGAAACATTTGCTAGTGAAGGTCTACGTACTCTTTGCTGTGCTGTAGCTGACATTTCACCAGAGGCTTATGAAGAGTGGAAAGAGACTTATCACAAAGCCAAGGTTTCTTTGCAAAATAGAGAGCGCAAGCTTGATGAAGCAGCAGAACTAATTGAAACAAACTTAAACTTGCTTGGAGCTTCTGCAATTGAAGATAAACTACAGGACCAGGTAAATATCACCCCCTTTTGGTATTTTGTGGACTTCTTTTTCATGTGTTTAGATGTGAACCACTGAGTAACAAGATTTGTTATTTTTTAGGTGCCAGAAACAATTTCTGCCTTAATCAAAGCTGATATAAATGTGTGGGTGCTGACTGGAGATAAACAAGAAACAGCAATTAACATTGGTTATTCATGTCAACTTATAACCCAAGGAATGCCAATTTTGATTGTGAATGAAGGTAGCCTTGATGTAAGTTTTGTAAATGTTTGCTGACTTTGTTGCTTTTTAATACTGCCCTACTGATATCCACAGCACCTACAATTTTATTGTTTTTTTTGTTCAGGATACAAGAGACACAATTGGTCGACATATTGCAGACTTTGGCGAACATTTGAAAAAACCAAACCATGCTGCTCTTGTTGTTGATGGACATACATTAAAATATGCTCTAACACATGACCTTCAGCGAGATTTCCTGGACTTGTGCATTTCTTGCAAGGTTGTAGTATGTTGTAGAGTATCTCCCATGCAGAAAGCTGAGGTTTGTATCATTTATAGATACTTTTATTCTGCTTTTTCACTTCTGCCATGTAACAAGAGATATTGTTATAAGATCATATATACAAGATATTCTAGATAAGTATATTGTTGTTGTTATAGATGGTAGAGCTTGTTACTGTGCACACTGGGGCAGTGACATTAGCCATTGGAGATGGTGCTAATGATGTTGCCATGATTCAAAAAGCTCATGTAGGTGTTGGGATTTCGGGATATGAGGGACTTCAAGCAGCGTGTGCTTCTGATTACTCTATCGCTCAGGTATGTTGCTACTTTTCCTAATGCCATGTTAAAGTCTTTTGTAAACTGTAAACTTATATTTTCTTTTATTTAACAGTTCCGGTTTTTATTAAAGTTACTGCTAGTTCATGGCGCCTGGAACTACAACAGAATGTGTAAATTAATTCTGTACAGTTTTTACAAAAATATCTGCTTGTACATTATTGAACTCTGGTTTGCCATATATTCCGGCTGGTCCGGTCAGGTTATGTTCGAGCGATGGACTATTGGTCTTTATAATGTGGTGAGTTAGAGTAATGGCGTTACTGAAATACTGGAATTCAAATAAATTGGCTCTCGTACATGTACTTCAATGTCTTTTTACACAGTTGTTCACGGCCTCGCCTCCCATAACAATGGGAATTTTCGACAAAGTTTGCTCAGCCGAAATGATGCTTCAATATCCCAAGTTATATGCTCCTTCTCAAAATGGAGAACATTTAAATGTAAGGGTTTTCTGGGGATGGATTATAGTGGCCATAATTCACTCCATCATACTGTACTGGTTACCAATGCTCATGTGTCAGCATGATGTGCTTTGGAGCACAGGTCATGATCAGAGCTATTTAGTTCTTGGTAACTTTGTCTACACTGTAAGTATCAAGAACCTCTATCTGTAATTGTTTTGAAAAGGTTTCGTTGACTCATTACATTATACTTTGTAATTATTTGCAGTACACTGTGGTCACTGTTTGTCTTAAAGCTGGTTTAGTGACAAACTCATGGACGTGGCTGACACATGCTGCAATCTGGGGATCAATATTAACATGGTTTTTGTTTGTTGTGATCTACAGGTAAATATGAGGTTACACTCCTAGTATTTGTATTAATCATACTGTAATTATGAAATTTAGTAAAATTAAATTTTGTATTCACATTTTCAGTGCATTTTGGCCTACTATTCCTCTGGGTGCTGTAATGTCTGGGATGGATAAAATGATGTTTACTTCACTAGTTTTCTGGCTGGGTCTTTTCCTCATTCCATTTTCTACTCTCATTATCGATGTAACATACAAAGTGTAAGTATTTTAGAGTTACAAAAAATTAACACAATTGTATGAATCTCGGTGTCTTAATTGGAATCATTTCTCTACTCACTTTAGAATATCTACTTCCACTCACAAGTCCCTGACAGATGCTGTTCGAGAGAGTGAAATTAGAAAGTCAGATCCTGGGATAATCATGGCAGAAAGCAAAACGTAAGTATTACTTCATCATTTAAAATTTGAGTGATTTCATATAACATGTGGTAGCGTGGGTAACCATTTTTCGAACTAGCTGAGGGAGGGAATGATTGGTTTTGCAGTGAGGGTTGGCAAGCTTTCTTATAAGCAATAGAAAGTTTAAAGCGCTAGGGAAAGTACTTTCTTTTCATTCAAACTTAAATTTTGTGTGGCTTCCTAACATTTTCTTTGTATTATATATCTTGTTTAACAAATCAGTTCCCATTGGATTCATAAATGGTGACAAAAGAGTTTATAAACTTATGATTTAATTTGCTAATTCTGCTTAACTTTTTTGTGTAATTTCCATCAACTCCTTGGTTCAGTTTTCACCCACTGCACTTTCTCACAGCTATTAGCAGTGTCCTAAATATAAAAAGTGTGCTCTCTCTCTTTGACTGGCATTTGTTCTGTTAAGATGTTGGCAATCAATTTAAATGATATTAGAAATATCTTAAAAGGATTTTTGAGTTTTAACAACAGCTCTAGTCAGTACTTTTTACCTTCATTTCCAAAGAAAAGTTAACTCAAGATTATATTTAGGACCAAATTGTAATCCACTGGTAATCACATGCTTATTTTCTAAAAAGCACACTTAAAAATATTGTTCCTTATTATTTTCATCTCACCTTTCAGTTTGATTTATTTTAAGGGTATCTAATTTTTGATTTGTTCTCTTAAATTTGTCACCATTTGCATTGTTTTTAGGCATGGTTATCATCGAAGTCAGAGAGGCAATGGCAGTGGTTTTGCTGCCTGGAACTCTCTTCTAAAATCAAATCAACGAATTAAATTTAACTTCCACCTAAGAGCATTACGGGTGTTAAGGGATATATATTATAATGGACGAGAATTCTTGAGATAGTCAGCTCATGCCTTAGTACTCGTGTTTATTGTAAGGAGCTGATATATTTTATGACCCTGTGCCATATACCTTTTCATTATGATGCTAGATCTCAAATGCTGTGATTTTGATAAGAAAGTTGTGAAGACTGATTTAGTTTAATTGGGAAAGAAAGACGTTCAAATAAGTTTTTGCATCACAGCACAGAAAATTTCTTTTGTCAACATCTGAGGCATTTTGTGTCTCTAATTAAAGCTTAATGGTAATTTTTCCAATGCATCTTATATTTTTCTAAATATGTATTTTTAGCCTGTTATTTAATGTGTGTATATGTATGTATGTGGTACAGACACACAATATTATATATATTTTTGGAAGGTTAGCATTTTCAGTTAGCTTTTAGGTAACCTACCACAATGGAGTAATTTGATTTTACATACATAACATATCATGGCGGAAATGGGTAACAATAAAGCATACTAACATTGAAAGTCAAAACCTGGTAAATGATGGGAAAATTAGAATAGTTAATATCTTGTTATCCATTTCCATGTGGTTCACATTTTAAAGCCTTGCCATTTTCCATGCCTATCATTCTAAACCTGGTCAATAATGAAACCTGTCTCTTTTGATGTTCTCTTGTACATTTTTCCCCCATGTTTTTTGTATTAGTGAAAAATTGGTCAATGGTTGCGATGGCATAAGGTGGTGCAGAGAGAGGAGCATTTTTGAGAAAGACATTGTGCACTATATTTGGTGTGTGCTAACTGTTGCAGTGGTGAGACCGTATTTTGTTGCACAAAGTAGTGATTACATTTTCTTCTCTAAGTAGATTTTTACTAAATTTAATATGTTCTAGTTGAGCTTCATTATAGACACCTTTATCTTTTGTACCTTCGCAGCTATTCTGGACCCCAGAATGAACATACAGGGTGCTTGCTTTGCTCTGTCTTTTTCTCAGAGGTATACTAGCCCGCCGACAGACGGGACCGGTCCGCGAGCTCGGCCACTACTCCCTTCATCCCCTCTGCTCGATAACCTTCTTGGTCTGGCTTTCGGCGGTCTAGTCAAAAAGACAAAAAGACGGCGTTCAGCATCCATCCTTTATGTGCTGCATTACATTTTGGTACAATGTGGACCAAATTCAGAGCTGAATTTAATATTCGCTGTGGTTGTATATCACATGTATTTTCCACATCATATTATTAACTCTGTTCTTGCCTACTATTTTTGCACTTCTCTTTGTTCACTGTGCACTGGGTGTGTCTAATTTCAATCAACGAATCTTATATAATCATAACTCATTTGACTTCTAGCTAAAACCCATAAGAAAAATCTGAACTTTTCTTGATGTTTTAGAAATTTGATTCTTTTTGGTTTAGTCTTAAATTTGTTGTGATATGCAACCTCTTTTGCTTTAGCTGAGTGCGCAAGAGTAGCCATTGTAGTTTTGCAAATATGTGTGTGCTGTGATTCTTTGGGTATGTGTATTAGCAATTGGCATGAAACTAAACTGTGTGCCATATTGTTGTGCTTTTGTTTTTATTTTGAATTTAGGCTAGTTGGTATAACACTTTGCTTTCTACCTCGCACCTTGTGAGTAAAAGCACCAAGCATTTGACATTTTATAAATGTGTTGTGGTTTTATTGTTGTCCTTGGTGCTGTGTTGTTCTTTCTCGTTTACAAATTATGATCCTTTTTCTCAGAAATAAATTTTTATTTTTGTAATCTCTTGTGTTTTCTTATTTGGTAATGTTTAGAAAGAACTGTCTTCTGTGACTTTTTTTTACAACTTTTGCTTCTCACAAAAAGTTTTAAAAAATTAAGCAGAAATTTTATCATCTATTTAGTCTGATAGCATTTATTTGTTCAGTTCAGACTTTAAGCTTTTCGCATAAGTAGGAGTATGTTTCAGTTAGATCAAAATAAAAAGACCATTACTTTTTTTGTTGAGTTTCTTGTAGTAAATCTTTTGTGTGTATGTGCAGCCCCGCTGCCGCGTTGGGAAGTCTGGTGAGGTGTAAGTACTTCTTAGTTTTACCATCTTTTGCTTCAGTTTAACTGTAACTTCGGCGGGTTGGCTGTAAGTACATGCTTAAAGTCTGCAACCTCGGGATTTGGGGAAAAGGCTATATATTCTTGAGGCTTGGTCTGGTTTTGGTGGTGTGATACTTAGAAGAGTTTACCAAGCAAGCAAGTTTTGTAACCCAGCTGTACGCATTAGTTCTAATCATACTCGTTGACAGTTTTAATAATCTAATTCCAAATCGGTAATGGTGCTGTTGGGTACATAGCATAGGACTAGAATCCGAATATAGTGTGTCAATCAATTAACTTTCATCATAAAATTCCGTTTTTGTTTTCTTTCATCGCAGTTAAAATATTTACTCTTGTACTATAATGCCTCCCCGTGGTAAGTGGTTTTAATGAAAATAAACTGTTTGAAAATTAAATTTACCAATAGGAAAGGGCTTACTTATGGCTTTTAGCAAAGTTTATTTTTAATCTCAAATTTTATTTTATTTTACTCTGTCTATTTTTCTCTCAAGATAAGTACATATTATCTCTTTTATTATTTTAACATTCTTTTGCTGATTCTGCATGTGCATGTGATCAGCTAGAATGACAGTATACGCCTCTTGCCACACCCCACTGGCATGCAAATCACAGGAGAATGGAGTTCAACTTTTAGCAACATGAAATCTGTCATTCAGTTTTGGCGACTATCCTGGGGGCATTGGCCACACTGCTACGAAACGCTTGTGCTTGCGTTCGTCGCTCCTGCTGTAAAAGCACACACAGACTGAGGAGGAGTTTAAGAGGCCACAGGTCCTGTTCCACAACAGAATCATCGCATCGGTGACAAAACTCTCACCTAGTACAGCTACCATTCGGTAATTATTTATGTGGCATTCGTAAGTGTTCTGAGTGTTTAGTGGTGGGAAAATTTGTGGAATTGTCTAAAATTTTCAATGGAAGGAGCCTCTGCTTACAAGGAGGGTGTTCAACCGTAACTTAAGCCTGGAAGCATGGTCTGCTACAGCATACAGCTTTGTTCTTTAAATTGCTTTCTTTCACTAGCATGAGAAACACTAAGCACAGATTCTTTGCATTTCTATCAGCTGGTAAATACACTGTAATTCATTAGTGCATCTTGCATGAGTCTCCTGCCTTCTATACATCACTAACAAATCTCAAATGCCCCATCTCAGCTCCACTGATCACTCTTCGCAGCCATGACAGTGTTAGAGTCATTTAGTAACATGCTTTGACCGCATCCTGCAGACTGACAGAACGGGCACGACTCCTCAAGAATGTTTTCAGCCGCCGCTCAGCAACAAGGGTAAACATGGAAGTTGAGCTGAGCCGTAAGTATTCACACAGCCCCTGTGCATACCTTTTAGTCTGTATAGTCTTAAGAAGGACACTTGTGTGTGATATTTTCACTTAATTTTGAAAATTTTATTTCAAATTTTATGAACTAAAACAGAAAAAAAAATCATAATCTCTGTTTTTTGTATGTTTTTTTTTTTTTTTGTAAAGATTTTCAGCATCTTTTCTTTTCTTCTTTCTTTTTTAGGAAAAGAGGAATTCTTTTTAATCTTTTGTGTGTCTTGTTGCAGATGGTTTCGCTTTTTCTCAAGAAGAAGGTGGAGCAGTGGCCCAGTCAGATGTTATTCGAGCATACAACACAAACTTGCCAAAGCCAGGTGGAATGTAGATTTTGTTTTGATCCTCTGAAGAAAAACATTACAGTATTTTGTAACTAAAACAGTGTTGGTAATGTGGGCAGCAATCTATAATTAGATTCTGTGGGACCACATTCTCTGTAATTGTACAGATGAGATAAATTTTGGAAAAATTGATTGCTTTTATCTTAAGTGAAATTGTACGCGTCTATTGAGGAGTGAATACTCCATAAAGCCTTGACTACTGCATTTGCAGAAGATTTTATTCTGGAATAATTACTAATCAATGCAAGGTATTATGTTTAACAGTGCAAAGTAAATGTACTGGAAAAAATTAGCACACTTATCGATTAAGCAAATTGCCTAATTTTCTTATCATAGCTTAAGACTGTCTTGCTTTAAATTACTATTGAATTGTAATCAAAAGCTTCGGAAATTGACACTATTGCGCTGGGATAGATTGCAAATTTGCATTGAGTTGTGTTTAACTTCAAAGTGAAACTGTGAATCTGAAAGTCTTTGTGATTCCTTTATTTTTTTAAAGAATAAGTGGTCCTTGTGATAATTAGATTGATGTACCTCTGATAATTCGGACATTGCAAACTTCTACATGTTACTTCTGTTTCTTGGCTGTTTACTATTCTGTCAAAAAAAAATTATTTATTGGTTTTGCAGAAACATTTTTGTAGCTGAGTTGTTCCAAGTCTATAGAATCACATTTCTCTTGAAGTTGGTGGTTTAGTGAGTTGTCATTTTCATCTCCTTCATAATTTTTTCTCTTCTTGACAAATTAAAAACAAGAATTATTTGCAAAGTCAGATAGAAAGATAGTATTTTGAGATCAAGAGATTATTTGAAATTCAATTTCTTCGCAGCTCTTTCTTTTAAAATAGGTCTCTCCTGTGCGGTGATTAGTTCTTTGTGTAAGGATAAAGATAACTGAAGTGTACTTGTCCCTTACCCTTTTTTATTACGAACTTTAATGACTGATATTGTCACGAAAATACAGTTGCTATCTGGAAGTCTGAATGTTTCTTCGTCCTTTGGCTGCAAGATGATGATCATCAGGCCAAGCACTGTCATTCTAATTTTTTAAAACAATTAAGTTTTCCTTGCTGACAAGAAAAAAAGGTTTGTAATTGATTTTCAGTTGATTGATTTTGTTAATACTCATTTAAATGTGATGTCTTGATCTTCAAGCTTTGAGCTCGCAGAGAATCTTGGTATTCTTTCCTTTCTGCCACTGACATTGATTACCTATTTCAATTACCATAACTTTGAATAGATGACCAAATATATAAGCAATTGAATTGGGAAGCGACATTACTATTAAAATCTAACCGAAGGTTTCAGGACTTGTCTTTGGCAGTATGATGTCTTGTGTTTTGGTCCCATAGATGACTGGAAATCATGGTTGATGCAGAATGTATGCATCATTAGTGGCAGCTTAAGTTAAGTTGTAAAGTGCAACTTCACAATGTGATAATAATATGTACATCTATAAGAATTAATGAGCCATGTGTTTTCATTGTGCTAATATGTATTTGCTTGTTGTGTATAGTGTATAGATACAGGATACTTATTTATTTTATTTTCAAAATTTCCATTATTTATGTGTCATAAGTAAAGTTAAAGAGTGTATTTGCACTCGATTGCACACCATTAATATGTAGTTGATTAACTAGACTGTGGCTTAAGAGAATTGCCCATTTATTATTTGACGATCTTTCTTTGGTTGTTTTCATGCTTAAATAAGTGTTGATTTTTATAATGCGTTGTTATTTTTATGTGTTTATACAAAGGTTTCCTGACTGATTTGAACATCCTAGTCCTATGTAAAAATTGTACACAGATAGTTCTATCATTTAATATGTTTAAGTGTGGCCACCACACAGCTGTATTAATTGATAATCTGTTACCTTCAACTTTGCTATATTTCTGATTTTAAAATTCATTTTCATTTTCTCATGAGTTACCACAGAATGTTTTATATAATATAACAATCTATATTTCAGGTACAAACACTATCAAAAGTTTGTTTCCATTTTATTCAATGTTTCACCGTTAAATGTGAGGTAGGCATTTTCTTGGATAAAATGGGAACCCTAGTCCTGCCTATGCTTTGAGGCATTTTTGTAGTTTCTAACCTTTGACCTTAAACAGAAAGTACTGGTAAACGCCTTCCATTTATTTGTGAGGTTACATTGATTACCTGGGACATTTAAAATCTGACATGCTGGATCTGAGGCTGTAATTTTTGTACCCACTGATTTCTTGTTCATGCTGATCTCATTGTCAGAACTCTTATAGTTGCAAGAATACAGGTCTGGAGAGAAATGTAGCTGTGTTTCATTTTTAAATTGCAATTAATCTAGTTTCTTTGCACCATTAAAATATTCCTTACCTGCAAACTGATTTGAAATTGTATCTACTAAATGTGGATGATTGGAAAGCTAATGAATAAATTATTGCACTAGTTTTGGTCAGCACAAATTAATGCACCATTGTCGACTTAATTTCCCCATAACACAGAAGAGAGACATGATCTACTGATCATATAAATCCATCCATAGGATCCTGCAAGAATAGACTCGTTTCCACTCTTCAGGGTGAAAGTTTACAAAGCAACTGCTCGTGGTGCAGCAGGGCCATGTTTCTCGATCCAAACTGATTAAAGACAATGATTTCCTTGTTTCTCATTTATTTTTTTGGTAAAAAAGTAACAAAACCCATTCTCCAAAAACCTATGAACCATTTCAAAATGCTTTACTAACAGCATTTTTATACTGTCGAGTTTAAAACTCATTTCTAGCATCACAGAAAAGAATGGATATGTCAGACATTAGCCACAAAAGATATAAAACAGAAAAAGCAGACGACCTCATAACGCTTAACCCTACGTTCTAAACAGACAAGTTCTAGCAATTCAACACTGATACATCAACTTCAAAAACACATTCAATGATTCTCGTATTAAAATGAAGAATCTTGAACAGGACAATGCAGTCCACAGTAAGATAGAATACATTATTCATGTTTTGAAAGAATACATGTACCACTAGATCTTAACAAGCCTCACGTAAAATTGCATAAAAAATATTTTCAAATGCAATATGTGTAAGTAACAATTACAATATTTCATCACAAATGTTTGGGATTGTTCCCAATTCAACAATTATCTTTTCAAATAGTACTTCATGGAATCACACGAAACTTTTGCAGTTTATATCATCAGTCTCCTTCATAATTGAATTCTTTTAAAAGTATAACAAAGTCTTGAATCACAATGCAAGTTTCAAAGAGTTTGAAGTAAAATAAATCTCTATCATATAGCAATAAAAATGTAAATCTAAATTACAACAGATCATACAAAAATGACTTCCAATAATGGTTACGACTCAAGACAACATTCACATCTAAAAAATCTGTTAGTTATTTCATCACAGTTTGGAAAAGTTAATCAAAGCAATGTGGCAGAGTTTGATTTATCCCTGGTAACTCCTTTAGTTGGTGCAACATTGACTGATGAAGACTCGTCTCCGTTGGATTTTAATTCTTCTGTAGCATCAATCATAATGTCCGAACCAGCACAATTAATTTCTTTCCAGAAAGGATCTTCAGCACTCTGCTCCCATGGACTCTCAGGAGATCCTTGAAAGCACCGAAGGTGTATCTGTCAAAGATAACATTTATTTCAAATTAGAAATTAAAAATGATATATATACATTTTAACATATTTATACATTTATACATTTTTTAAATTTAAACGTTGTATGCCCCACCTGTAGATAAACATTGACTTGATCACTTCTACTCAAATATGGGAAATTCCCACCAGATTTAAGGTGAGCTAGTCGAGCATTTGGGTAGCATTTATACAATTCTTCTCTCACAGGACTACTGAGTGCATACTCATCAAAAACATCAATTATTGTCACAGGTACTTCTTTCATTTTCTGTGGTTCCACATAAGAGCTGACACAATTCATTGTAAGACGAGATGCAAGATCTTGCTGACTTAAACTTTCCAACTAAAATAAGACAAAAAAAAACACACATTTTAAGATAAGATCAACTGATAAAGAGCATATTGAATAACAATCTCTCACAAAAATAATCAACAGTCTAAGAGAGCTCACCCGCTCTACCATAAAATCTATGGAATCAGCAATCCCAGCATCCACCTTAGATGTAGTAAAACTACCCATGATCATTTTTTTCAAGAGAAGAGAGGGAAACATCCAAAACCTAATCAGGCGGGAACAGAAGGTGAAAAGCATAATTGTGTTGTCACATAAAATGTTAAAGAAAGAATGAAAGCTCATCTGTACTTACAATGAAGCTGAATCGTTATAGTTGAAAATAGACGTATCCATAAATGTATTGCACAAGATGAGAGAAGCAACCCTAGGACAACTTGCTGTATGCTCAGCGAACTTCTGAGCTAAAAATCCACCTAGATGAAGAAAAGAAATAGTTAAAAATTGTAATACATAACCAAATCTATTACTGATTCCACATTTTGTCGATCATATTCTTACCGAGCGATGTTCCAAACAAATGAACTTTTTGAAGACCAAGATAATCCATTAATTTCCGAAAACCTTCACACCATTCTTTTACACTCCAATAGACCGGGTGTTCAGCCTGCAGAAATTTAATTCACTGAGACAAATCTAACAAATCAAAGGAAACCATCCCCCAGCAAATTGAAAGCCATGACTTACAGCAATAACTCTTATGCCTTTAGCATTGAGCGCAAGAACTTGCTTGAAGAAAATATCAGCAGTACCACTCACTGGTGGCAAACACACTAACGGAGCTTTCACACTTTTGGGGCCAGAGTCATATATTTTCCATTCCTAAAAGACAAAGCAAATTTTTGATTGTAAAACATTATTGGGTCATGAGACATTATCCATTCAACAATGGTTCACGATTTTTGAAGTTTAAAAAGCGACTCATTTAACTATAAGCCCGATGTAATGCACAAAATTTCTCCTGACCGCTCCTGACACATCATCATTTCTTTTGAAAACCACCAAAACAATAACCAGAGATAACCTGTTTACCTTAGAAGCATCTGCATCGACAGCTACTTTGCGTTGCGGGATACTGCTCCGGAAACTGACGTATTCTTGAGATTGGGAAAACTCGCTTGGATAACTCATTGTTCGGCTAAATGATTCAGTGGCAGGCACAGAACGGGCATTACGGAAAACGGCGTTAATATTTTGTTACTGCTGCTCCGCAGATTAGACTGGAGTCTGCCTTGCCTTGATCGCATAACGGCGATAACCTACACAACAGCACCCAACACACACAAGCGGCGGTCAGGCCCGCGGGCTTCCCCCTCCCCTTTCCTATCTCGCTCCATCGCTCTGTGTCTCTGCTCTCAATTCCTGAGGAAGTTCTCACGTATGTTGTTATTGGAACGAAGCAGCTAGTGCTAGTGTGGTAATAGTGACAACAACTACACATCTGATACAAAATTCTATCATGTAATGAATTGGCAAGTTTGTTCTGAAATACCTACCATCCACACCTTTCTGTGTTGTGGACCATACCGGGTGATTCAGAGAAGACGCAGGTGCAAGCGGGTTTGCCTATCCTCGACTCGGCGGGCGCACGGGTCCCCTCCCCACCTTTCCCCAGACCTGCACTCGTGCGCCCGCCGAGTCGAGGATAGGCAAACCCACCCGCACCTGCGTCTTCTCTGAATCACACGGTACATAATGGACCCCTGAGGTAATTTTCTAATGGTACCCCAATAGCTCAATAGTTAGTGATTTTTTTTAGTAATTTCTTTTCATTACAGGTACGTGATATACATACAACTTTCGCTCATTAGATAGTTATCATCCATTTTATATTTATATCCACAAACATATGATCAGTCATTAAGAATAATTCTAGTCTTATCACAAAGTACAAGTTAAAGAGAAAATAATACAAATTTCCAGCTCTTTCAATAGTTGTTTACAAAGGGTAAAAAGTAAATTATCACAAGAAATTCTATAAACGGCCTCTGTTTCGGTCTCTAGCATTTAAGTTCTAGATGAACCAACTCTGCATGATGACAGAATAGACAATATTATTGCAGATTGCAACTAAATTTATTTATCTTCATAGGTCTCCAATACATCAGCAAGATGATCATTGTCTCTTGGTTTTTTGTGAGTTCTTTTCCTATTGTTGGCCTTTTTCCGCTTAGGTATGACAGGTTTCTTTGGCCCATGATCTTGCATGGAGCGGATACCCTTTGAAAAGAAATCTCTATTAATATGGGTCCTTGACTAAAGAAATTTATGAGTGGTTTTGAGATATAATTATTTCTTACCTGCTTCTCAAGATATTCTTCAATTTTATCATCATCTACACTCTCTACAGCAATGCCGCGCCATAGCTTTTGGAATTCTTCATCAACAACTAACTGGGCAGTGCGATCATTATAGAATAATATTTTCTTCTTGTCTAAAGGTCTTGAAACGTATATGATTTCATTTTGTAGGTTCTAGATCAATGAAGTTTTGAGACACAAATGATTAATTACCAATTGTCTCTTTGGAAACAACAATTGCATCAATTGGATCAAGTTTCCTCACCTTCAAAGCTTTTTCACAATTAGGAAGGGATTCTTGTACATCATCCAGAAGGACTCCACCCAGACCCTTTAAATCATGTTGCTTTAAAAGACGAAGCAATGCTTTTTTGTCTCGGATCTTGTAAGGCGGTTTGAAAAGGAATCCACCCTCTGGAGTCTGTTCTAATTTGGGATTTTGAACTAAAGATTCTGTCAACAGCCACTGGTCATGAACAAATATTTTGATAAGTTTAACAACACACTAGAAAACCATTATAAAAATTAAAATAAAATAACTTTCTTACTGTTTTCACTTTAGATCCAACATCAAGCTGGTTGGTTTCATCCAAAATTTCATCAAGTGTGAGAGGATGATCATCACCCAGCTGATGCCTCTGCTTCATATGCTTAACTATTTTGGCTAGAACTCCAAATTTGTACTGACCAGACCCTGACATACTCTTGTACGCACTGTAGACAAAAAAATTACAACTTAATACAATGTTGGTATAATATGGCACACAAAGTAAACAATTTAACATACTTGACATCTCTTGGCGGAGCAGGAGACGGTGCTGGCGCTGCTGACGGTTTCGGTTTCTTTTTCTCATCTTTTCCTAATCCCTCTACGTCTTTTCTCTTTTTCTCAACACTGCAATTTTGGAAAATGAAAAAAAACCAACCGTTGAAAAACTTAGATATAATGCACCAACAACTGTAACGGCCATGATTACTAGTTTAGAAGCAACAAATGGAGAGAGAGAGATGCCCAAACTATTATTATTACATGCTCTATTAAATACGTAGAATACATTTTATAAATGAATGGATATTTTAAGAAGTCAATTCATAACAATTCATAATAAAGAGCGAATAAACATCTCCCAATAAAAATAAATAGAGGTTAGTACGTACGTTGGAGTAACATAAGCTCTTTTCATAAAGAGCTCACGCTCCCGTAATAAAGCTGGATCCATATTGATAAGTTAACCTGAAAACCTAAGCAGAAGCGGACTGGAAACTTAATTCCAATAAATTGAATTTTTCAATAACTCTAGCAGAAGATTACAATTTTGACAACAAGAAATAAAATAAAGCTTCCACTCCACTTGCCTGAAGATTTCTTTCTGATTTCTTCTCCAGTCTAGACTGTCATCTGTCATCATGTATGAAAAATCTATTGTCATAGGCGTGAAGGCGTCAGTTGCCGACTACAAATCTGTCACTTCGTAGAAGAAATTGTATTTATTTCAATATTCCTCCTCTTCGAATGAATGATCACCCGGTACCTTCAGCCACTGAACAAGTCGTTTTGTCTATTTTGTGTGGTTGCAGCATAAATAACTAATTAAGTGCCTTTCGGATTATTTTCATTCCTTTTTTATAAGTGTGCACAACACACCATCTTGGGTTAGGGTCTGGATTGTCAACCACAACATAATGAGGTATTTAAAAAAAAAACACACACACACGAGAAAAAACAATTAACAATGAAAATTTATTTTTGGGCCCTGATTTTCTAATACCTTTCCATCTCAAAATCGAGCCCTAGATAAATAATGACGAATTGTTTCCTTGCAGTGTGCCAAATCAAATTGGAGAAGACAGCTCATCACAACCACAGAAGCCTTCCGGATTAAATGAACTGAAAATTTGTGGGTGGAAAGTGACCTCTTGTGAGAGTCATATTCTGAAGTCTAAATGTGATCATGAAGTGGAATGTGTTGACGGCAGTAATTTGTGCTCATTTTGCCTGTATGACAGCATCATATACACATTGTCCTATGGAAATCCTTAAAGCTAGAAAAGATTTTGTAATTTCCAATCTATTGCTAGGTACAATCAGCAGCTCGATCTTCATCATATTCCTGACATGGTTTTTCCGGACAACAAATTGAGTCTTCTGCATGAGCCATCTGGTTTTGGAATTGAGTTTACTGCTCTGAGTGCCTTGCAGATGGTTGACAGTGGTAAAAGAGATGTTAAAATTGCATGTGCTGAAGAATGGAAAGCGTCACGGTGAGATCAAAGCACAAAAGTTGTACTCATATGTAGTAGAAATATCCTTTAAAAGCCTTAAGAAAATTATTATCCTGGTGTTCTGTAGAAGAAATTAATAAAAACTTTTGTTTTAGATCCGATCAGCCCCATATTGATCATGAGGCAAAGCCATTTGACTGGACGTTTACAACTGACTATAAGGGAACATTATTTGGAGGACTTGAAGCAGAATCATCCCACCTCCATATAGATATGGAAAAGTTAAAAAGGCGAGAGCAAATAATGTTCTATTCTGATGTCACTCTGTTTGAAGATGAGTTGCATGACAATGGAACTGCTATCTGCTCAGTTAAAATTGTACGGAAGTTTCTTGAATTTACTCATCTCATATTTTTATATTTTGACAAATTAATCTTGTTAATTTTGTCTCATGTAATTTGCAAAGTTTTTTCTATTTTTCTGGATTTTTTTTTTCTTTTCCAGAGAGTCATGCCAACTGGATTCTTCATACTTTTAAGATTTTTTCTCAGGGTTGATAATGTTCTTGTACGTATAAATGATACTAGACTCTATCATGAGTTTGGAACTGCACATATCATAAGAGAGTTTACTGGTCGAGAAAGCAAAATAGAAGATCTTAGGGTAAGACTAGCCTTTGATGGGAATTATAGGTTTTAATTTTCCCTTTGTTCATTACATAAGGATTGTTGTTTCACATTGCAGGTGCCAACAGCTTTACTGACCGATCCCAATGAAATCAACTCTCTATTACCTATAAAATCATCAACATTTGAATTACTGAAACTTCCCTCAGCTTCTAGTAAACCATCACCAGAGGTCACCACCATAGTTCCTAATCCAGGATCATAAGGAAAGTAAAAGAAATATGCTTTTTAGAACTGTATAAAGTGTTTTTTTTTTACCGGATCTAAAGTTTTATCATCTTTATTGTTAAAATTTTACAAAAACAAGATTTTGAAATCTTGTGAAAATTGTCAAATAGTACTAAAATCAAATGAAATACAGAAATATGAGCAAATCTATTAATTCCTTTCTATGGTAACTGACTTGCATTTAAATATGCTAGCCCTATTGCCAAATGTTCTTATTTGGTCTTCCATTGAATGGACCTTTACATCTTAAAAAGGATACAATCATTGTTTTGCACTCAAACTATCAGTCACTGTTAAGAACTACACAAACACCCTGCAATATCCAATGGCTGCTATGCTCTTCTGTGCTGAGATCAGCAACAAATACCAAACCTACTCCCATGGCATTACGCCTCAGAGATGTTGTGTAGACTGGTGTCTTGATGGTATTCTGAAACAATTTTCTGTACAGAAACTCTCTATACCAAAACAAACAAACAAAGTTACTATATAAGTTAAACAGGGCAAAAGACATACTTGTAACTTGAGTCGATAAGCCTCAACTGGAACGACCATCACGATAGGTAGCTCCTCTTGGAGAACTTTAGGGAAAGACTTGGCCAAGCACTGATTGTCAACATCCCAGCGTGCACCTTCCAGGTATAGACCTATCACATAGCATCCCTGGTCAGGACGTTCCTCAACCTCATCTAATGTCCGGTATTTTGTTACAGTTGTGTACATCGCAGAGCGATCTAAAGACCATCCATTTTTCCGACATGCTGTTTGGATTAATGCTGCCAAATAAGACTCCGGGATATGTAGGCCTGAGAGCCACATCACCATGGGATCTCCACCTTTAGTCTAAGAGATGAAAAAAAGAGATTGGGGTACATAAGAAATAAGTCTATTTCTATTAAATAAAACTATTCAGACACAAACTGTTAAGAAAATTGCCGTACCCATGCATGATATTGATCATTTCGTCTCTCAAAGTGTTGCATCCAGCTCCCAAGGGATTTACAAGTAGCTGGAGCATGCCTGCGCCACTCATCTGGTAGCTGTCCATTGTAAAGAGATGATGCTACATTATCTAAAATTGAATTCATCCCAATTTCCCCAGCTAAAGCCTTTAAAAGAGAAAAAAAATTAGAATATTGAAAAAACATAACAATAGAATAAAATTAACACTTTTTCGCAGTTAGTTGGCTCACCTTACGAAGAGATGACAATGTTGACTGCATGCATTGTATAAGACGATTGAAACGAGCAAGTTCCTGCAAAAGCACAACTATGCTTGGAGTTATGTTCATTTCTATGCCCTTGCGTACTCGAGCCACCTCATATTGAGGAGGCAAACGCTCAAATATATCTTTTGCCACATTATCAATATACTCTTCTCGGCTCACGCCAGCAGATATGTCTCCTGTTGAATAAAGTTTCAGTTTTAATCTTCAAACAATGTCAAAATATTAAAAATATAACTAGTCAGAAGAAGATAAAATTTTTGACGTATAAAAAAGCACATCCAAACCTGAATCTAATTCCATCCTAATTGCTGCATGAAAATTATGATCATAATAAAATTTATAAACACATCAGAACTGTCTTAAAGTTTTTACCTTCAAAAGCATTTAGGATTATAATCATAAAGAAGACGAAGAGGAGTTTCTTACCAGTTTGTGGCTGCAATTGGATGAGGTGGTTCCACATTTCCTTAACAGCTTGCGAAAAATAACCAATTTCTGCATTGGCGTGCAAACCAAACACATTTGGGCTGTTAATCAAGGGCAGCTCTTCAATAAAATCTACGATATAAAAATAAGTTTTCCTTAAAATTCAACACAAAATAAAGATTATACATTGATTTGGAAAACCATTGAACCAACCAATGTATCCATCCTTATCTGTATCATTTGGTATGTGGTAATCAACAGTTTCATCCTTATAAAAGTGGAAAGGTTGGAAGGTATCAAACAAGAAATCTCCCATGTACTCATCCATGTAAGTGGAAACAATACGTCGATCAAAATTATCTATGACACGTCCACCATACATGACTTCGCCAATAAGATACTTCAAGCTTCCCCAAGGAATTCTTGTATCTTTAGTTACATGGGCCTTTGTTAAATAAGTATCTAATATTTGTAAGCACACATTGAAATCTGATTCATTGAAGTCGTAACAAATGTTCCATCCAATTTTATCATACTTTCTTCTTTCCTACAAATTAACAGGGGCAAAACCATGAATTGTGCTTGATATTTAGATTGTTGACAAATACAGTAACTTACAACAGAATTACAAACCTGCACAACTGCATGGAAAAAGGCCAGAACAAAGACAAGTTTCTTGAATACAGGATGGACACAGTGTTCTAAAGAGCTCTGAGATATTTTGAAGAATGTTCCTCTTAAATTTAATTTCAAACCATTTGGAGGTTCAGTAACCACTGGAATGTGAAAAATAAATCAATATTTCAGTCAGAGTTGAATTCTATAAATGGTACAATTAGATAATATTCAAGACTACAATTTGCTCTTAATAAATAATTTAAAAAAAATATTTTTTTTTAGCTTTTTACCTTTTAAGGAACGCTGAAGAATGCTGATAGGAAAACCGGGTGTGGGATCGGTTGTCAGCCACAAACGAAAATCAGGGTGAGGTTTTCCTGCTGCCTCTAATTGTTTTTCTAAATCACGTAAAAACTTTAACAGCAAGTGACAGTTTTGAAGCATGAGCCACTGACCCCTTGACACAGCTGTTTGTAGCAAAGAAATTGCAAGTTGTTCCTGTCCTTGACCGAGGGAGAGGTACTTGAAACGACCACCACCACTTCCACACCGTTCAGCAAGTTTCATAAGCTCAGATGTCGGATCAGAACCAGGACTTAGAATGAAAACTACTGGCATCTGAGGTGAGCTCTGCTCAAAAATGTTATCTAAGCTTATGACAGGAGGCATAACAAATTCTTGGCCCATTGTTTCAATTATGTACTTCGTCACTGCGCGGTACACTCTATCCACCCGGAAACAGCGCACAATCATAAGTTTTTGGAAAGGTCTGATCCGTTCAGAATACCCCATAGGAAAAGGAATGTCTTCTGGAGCATCAAAGTCATACCATTCTTGCCAAATAGATAAGTTATTTTCAATGTCACTGGGGAGCTGAGCAAAGTCATCACTGAAATCTTGAGATAACTTCAATATATCTCGCCACCCCGTCAACCAATTTGCAGGAGAAGGTCGAGAAAGAGCCTCTAGTGAGACGTCACCTTTGATAAAGAAATCCAATTCTGGTTGACTGACAGTACCTTCTGCCTTGTGCAGTTTCATCGCCATTTGGAAGGAAAACAATAGTTTGTGTTTCTCAAATATTCCAGTGCAACCATAGTCATAAACATTCTTGGTGAGAGTTACAATTATATTTTTAAGTCGCCGGGATAGTTGTGTATGTGGAAGGGCTTTTCTTAGAGAATAGGCAAACACTTCCAGATATGAGGAGAGTGAATATTGGTACATTGTGTTCACAGTTGCCATATCAGATAGCAAGAAGAACAGCATAGCACCTCGCCGAGACACAGATCGATAGCCATCTCTTAAAACGTCTATGTCAGCAGCTGTAGAAGCAGCAAGTTCTAGCTTGTTTGTCACCTGTTGAGATGAAATACTTTTTGTAAACCCTCTCAAATTTAAAGCTAATTCTCAGGCAAAGTCAAAATGGATCCATAAGACATACCTCAGTTGCTTTTGTTTTTGTATTTTCTAAAGTTTCAATAAGCTCTTGATTATCAAGCATGTTTCCAGTAGATGTTGTCAATTCTCGCAGTAAAGCATCTTCTAACTGACTGAGAAGATTTTTGTTTTCAAAAGTTTCTGCAATGAGTTCTTCTCTTCTTTCCTCCAAATCTGCTCTTTCGTTACGAACTACGACACTTAATAATTGATCTTCCAAACCCTGCAAAGAGAAATAGTAAAATGAAAAGGGAAAAAAATAGAAATGGTTTAAATGAGTATGACATAAAGAAGACTTACAGTTAAGGTAACAGTGTAATTAATAACAGTGGCTTTAGCATAAATTGCAGGGTTGAAAGGGGGATTGCTAAGTTTTGTTGTCAGATACAAACGAAATTTAGGATCAATATCCACTTCTAAATCCCCAAGCATAACATAACATCGCCCTGGTGGTGCTGTTTGGATAATAACAATGATAATTGCAATCATCAGAAAAATCAAAAAATTGGTGCACAACACATTAAAAAAAAATAAAAAATGAACATACTTTTGTAATTTTTGGAAAGAATGTTTTCAATAACTGGATCAATGTGATCATCTACATCTTGAAATAGAACAGGATGTCCATATTTTATGCCCATTTCTAAATGCTTTAAAAAATCCGCATCATTGAATGTTAGAATTCTCAAATTGTTCTTTTCTTCCTTCCTCTTAATCCAATTCAATGCCTGTTAGGAAAAGAAAATCACAGAAAACGGAAGGAAAATTTTTTCTACAGTGTATTTTAAATAAAAATTTGAATACCTGCTGCTGAGGGTCAATACAAAGGGGGAAACAATTGCTTTGTGTGGTAAGAATACCATTTTGTACTGAAAGCTCATCTGGTGGAAGCCCTTCAGAAGTCCACCTTTCAGTTAGAATCGACATATGTTATTAAACAAAATTAAAGTATGTCAACAACGTCAGTCATTAATATAAAAGGAGAGTATTACTCACTTGCTAATTTCAACATCAGTTGTGAGGTGCTCTTGCACTTTCCAAGGATGTGTCAGAGGGATGCCTTTATCAAGAAGGCTTTGTTCCCAGTCCTCATGAAGCATAGTATGTCGATACTCAAAACTGAAGGGACCCAAGTAGGACAGAAAAGCAGCTGCCAAAATACAATTGCCCAGTAACTGCTTCTTGTCCTCGTGCAGTTTAGCAAGGTCATGAGTCCATCTAGGCAACAAGAAAGATAATAAGAATAAGAATAAGATCAATAGAGGCCTCTTAAATCACAATTAGAGATTGACCTTTCGTTTTCAGATCTAAGTCCAGAAAAAAGTTTGTCAGCAGCAATCAGTCTTCGTTGCATTATATCAGCTTCCTCTTGTAACTTAAGTGCCTCTCCCATCGCAACTACATATTTGTCATTCAGCTCTGCTAATATCTTCTCCACCTTAGCTATTTCTCTATTTAAACTATCCAAATATTTTGTGGCCTGCAAAGTAATGCATTGCAGACTCAGCAAATTTTAAAGTGGGAAAAAATAAAAATAAGAGTTTGAAATATTCAGAATATTTTTACCTGTGCAAATTCTGCCTCAAGAGCTGCAACTTTTTCCTTTTTAGGTCTCACTTCTCGGTACACAGCACAGTACCCCAAAACTGCCTCAACAAAACGTAGAAGTCCATATCCAGCCTTACTGACTTTTTCCATGCCATCTAAATTGCATTTCTAAAAATTAGAGAAATATAAATTATGCACACTTTACACACTAAGAATTTAGGACAATTCAAAAACCGTGGGAGATCATACTTTCATATGAGCTTTTATAGCTTGCACTTGTTTTTGAGTGATGTTGTCACAATTCAATGCCTGAAGATTCTTCAAAAAATTTGGATCACTGAGCATTGCTTTAGCTGACTTCCAATTAACTTCTTTGATACCTTTTATTATGACCACACATTCACATACTATTTGAACAGCCTCTGGTGGTGTAGCAAAAGATCTGCAATTAAGAGTTATTGTTTTAGATGATACTCAGTATTTACAATGTTTGTCCAAAGAAATAACATTTAAATACACTATGAGTGTGAAATGATAAAAGAGTACATAAGTACTGTTTACAGAACACAAAACCCAAGCTAAACTAAGAATATGAGCCTGACATACCGCTCCTCCCAGTATGCATCATCACTTAAGCAGCATAAAAAGCAATAAAAGTTAGAGATAATGATGAATTTCAGTGAAAAATCTAAAGAAACTATTACAGGTAGTAGGTACATGTATTTTGAAATTTAAATTTTACTCATAGTAGTTTAGTTTTTACCTTATCTCAGTAATATCAGATTTTTCTAGCTCTGCTAAAGCAGCTCGAGCTGCCTCCAATGCAGGCATAGCCTCAGCTAAAACTTCTTGTGCCTCACCCTTTTCAGTATTAATGACTTTTGCTTGCTGCTCCATTTCAATACTTTTCTCAGTAGCTTTATCTTTTTTCTGATTAGCTGACTCGGTAGCTACAAATTGATCCAGAACAATTATAACATGAAAAACAACCACAAATTTGTGAAGGAGAGAGATTTAACATATTTTTTATACCTTCCCGAACTTGAGCAAGGAGAACATTGCTGGCAGCTTGCTTTTCAGCAACAACTTTCTTTTGCACTTCCAGCTTTTGGTTTAGAAGATCCAGCTCTGAACTTGCCTCTTGCATTTTCACCATGCCACCCTTTAAGCGATTGCACTGAAATATACAAATTACATATTTAGCTTAAAATTTTTAACATGGCTCTTAAAGAGACAAGAATTTACAATGACAGCACCTGTTGATCGATTTCAGCTGCTCTAATGTCCAACTGATGCAAATATACTTTAATAAAATCTAAATAGTGCTTTGGAGTAACATAAGTTTTCCTTCTTAGTTTTATAAGATAATCTTGACAATATTCTCGTACTGATTCATGAGTGTGCACCACATGTTCCACAATGCTATCTCGGTGTTCTTGAGGAATTTTAGGGTCCTAGAAAAAGAAGTCTTCAAAACATTTGTCAACTACAGATGTACTTAATTAAAAATAACAAACATACATCTGTAAGAAAGACATGAGCAACAGCAAGAAGAGCTTGAGATGGCCAAGGAAATAACCAATCAATGTAGGTATTATTGACTAGACCAGGAAAACTACGGCACCAATTGCGAAGATTGTCCCCAGATGGAGACATAGCTAGTACAATATGGAGGTTGTTGGCACAAATATTTAAAAAGTAGTTCCACACAGCATCCCTGAAAAATTTGATACGCGATATTTGTCAATGGCTCTATATACACAAAGGCAACAAATGAAGAAATTAGAATTTAGATACCAACTTGCTAACTGCATATCCAGCTTCCACTGCAAAAGGTCTGACTGAACTCATAATATTTTCTTTTTCCTCATCCGTAAATAATGCTGGTATAATACCAATTGTCAAGATATTATTGATGAATTCTAAGAAAGCTGGTAAAGCAAAACACAACAGCACTGTCGGTTACCAAAGTATTCTGAAATTATTTTTTTCTCACATTTCAATTTCCAACATACCTTCCTCAACAACTTGAGCTGCAGTAAATAAGAAAACCATGCTTTTTCTATCAACACCAAGCATATAGAAGAGCCTTTTCATATCTTCTTTAAACATGTATTCATTGTAACCTCGAGTCAGTGAGATTTCAAAAATATCACAACCTGTCAAAAATAACAATTACACAGTCTTCCACCTAAATTTTGTGTATGAAGCCACAATTTTGATATATTTAAATATACAAACCTGCAGCAAATGCAGCCAGCTTTGTAATACTTTGTTTACCGCTGCCGCCAACACCAACTACTAATGCATGACCTCTGTTTGTACGGAGTGCTCTATGAACTCGTGTTATATGCTCAAGAGCATCATCAAACAAAACCAAATCCATCTTGGAATGGTACTCATTGTATTCAACAAGTATCTGTAAGAGTTAGTGGTTGGTTGAAACATTAGACATAAAGAATCAATTTCTCTTTGAGATGATATAAGGCAGAAAATTTAAGAACCTCTTGCAAAAGGTGATAGACAGCTTCATAGTCAATGAGATCCTCATAACATCTTGGGTCGTCTTCATGAAGAGCGTTTCGATAATCTCCAAAGAGCAAGGGATCTCGCAAAACATGTTCCTGGAATGAAAGCTCCTCTTCAACGACATGTTCTTCCTCATCAACTTTAGGAATATCACCCTCTTCTGAGCCCTCTTGAGCTTCGTCTCCCGTTGATGCAATTTGATCGGTGCTGGACACAGCTTTGACCTGAAGCAAGCAAACATAAAAATAAAAGGAAAAATAATTGTGTAGAAACAAGTTAAATAAGCCAACTATTCATTCTGTTACTTCAGGTAAAGATGTTTCTTCATTGCTCATCAGACTTTGCCTCTTTTCTTCTGGAAAATATTCTTCAATCATCCTTTGCATTTCATCTCTCATTAAGGCTTGGTCCTGAAATAAGTGGGTATTGAAAAACAAAATAAAGAAAGAATGGCTATTACTAGCTGAAATTAATTGGTCAACAGAGTACTTACTTCAGGTGTGATGAGGCGATCGCAAATGACTCTGGTGAATTCATTTCGCCAAACTCTGACAAACTGTCGTGTTTGCTCAAAAAGTTCAGGTTGTGTAAGTACCATACCACTACATATGCGAGATAAATCTCTTAAGTTAAATATGTAATGAAAGCGAGAGGGAGTTGGAGGCAACTGAAGTAAAGCAATCTAACACAAAAAAATTAAGAGCACAATGTCAAAAAATGAGCATTAAACAGATTAGATTATTATGTCTGCTAACAAAAGTCCAACCTTGTATAAGCCCAAATTAATGTCAACCAATGTGGGCACAACTTTACGAACTTCTTCAGAAAATGATTTTGTATGTCCAGATAATATTGAGTTGTAGATATATTTTAATGTCTCGTCTGATGGAAAAACCAGACTTAACACAGCAAACAGAGATAAAAATCGAGGATCAACAGCATTGCGCCCACCCCCTGCAATGCCCATGGCACAAAAAAAGCCTGGAGAAAGAGAGAAATGGGAAAAGATATTAGCAATGAGAGGGGGTTATTTAGGGGAGCAATGTTAATACTTACAAATATCCTTCAGCTGCTTCCAATTTAAGTCTTTGCCCCTGTTATACATGCCTCCTCGATCGAGAAGCAGCTTTAGTAAAGCTATTGGTTGTTGAGTACCATAGGTATCAACCTAAAATTGTTGTTGTTCAAGGTTTGATTATTTATCCCTGAATTAGTTAGTAAAATACTGAGGCAAAAAGGGAAATTTACCTGAGGCATGTTGAGGTCATCAATGAAAATTACTAATTTTTTTCCTACTGGAGGCCCATAAATCTCTTTAGTCCTTTTTTCAACAACAGACTCAACAGTTCTTTGAACATCCATTGATGTGGTCCGTGACGAAAAGTTAACATTTAATCGAGCCTGAAATAATATTAAAGAATGGCAAATTTAATGTTTAGTCTTAATATTGTGAGTGGTAGCACAAAAATATAGTTTCACAAATGTTTACTAACATAAACTTCTTGATTTAATTGGCGAAGAAAATCCAACATAATGGCAGATTTTGAGGTCCCAGTGTCACCAACTAGAACAACTGGTCTCTTCACCTAGATGAACAAAATGATTACAAATCTCTAGATAAACATCACTTCTCAAAAAAAAAAACAATAAAAAAATCAGTTGAAAACAATAAATAAGCAAACAGTCATCTGGAACACATTATAGAAATTACTTACCTTGCGAAAGATTCGATCCTTAAAGTAATGCTAAGGCAGCAAGCAAAGCAAGTAGGAAGTAAAACTTTTGCTTATATTAATGTGCTTAAGAACCAGCAGAATACAAATATAGTATAATATGAAAGCAAGCTTAGAGTTACAAAATGCAATAAATCACACCTTTAACATTAAGCGCAGGAACCATGTTGTACGTTCAGTGTCAATTGTTGGAACAAGTATCTCACAAAATCTCTTCTCAGGGTCATGAATGTATTCTGGAACGAGCCATTTCCAAGCAAACCACTGCTTCTTCTCGACATCAAAGAAATAATCAAAAAGTGTTGGTTCTGCAGAGGGGAGGTATTCTGTGAAGACAAAGGTAGACAAATAGTAAGTGGTGGCCAAACTGGTTTCCTCAAAAAAATTATTAAAAAAATTAAAGACTTACTAGAAGAGGCTGGATTGTCCGGAGAATCTTCAATCAACATCATACCTGCAGTTTGTTTGACAAACTCATCAAAAGGATTTCTACTAGAAGCAACGAGTGGAGCTCCAAGTGAACAGTAGAGGGCTTGAAGAAAGATACATTCTAGTAGCTCAGCACGAGCCATCCGCTCCAAAGCCACCAAAGGGTCCTCTCCTTCATCTTCAGATAATGCTTCAGGTGCCTCCTCCTCTGGAATATGACCAGGGGGGAGACGAGGGTCAGGTGGAGGCGGGGCTGGTCCAGGTGTTGGAGCTTGCTCCACCTCTTCTTCCTCTTCTCCTGTCCCTAGATCAACCAGCTCTATACGAGGAATCTCCTCCTCGTCATCAGGATGTGGCACAGGAACTAGCGCATCAAGCATGAAGCAAAGCTGGGTTACCTTCAAGGATAGAATATACAATTCAAAACATTAATATACCTTTTAAATAGCTTGATCATTTAAAGGTACAGAAAATTGAATACTTGCCAGATTTAGAGAAGTCTGAGGTACAGCCATCATTAAAGGTTCACCCTCTAATGTGCCCTTCAATCCCTCTAAAATGTAACGAAGAAGGTTTGGGACATAGCGATTGAATAATCCATCAAAAACATCCTTCTCCTCTGGATTAAGGCGTGATGTAAGCCATCTTTGCCAGTAAGGCTGGTAGCCTAGATTTTTGGGATCAACATAAACCATTCCTGCTCGCGAAACAGTGGCAGGAGAGGCATACTGCAAGTCTCCAACCTTTAAACAAGAGTGAAAAAAAAGGCAGAACATCAAAATTAGAAAAACCACTTCTTACCAAAGTCAGATTAGTACTATGCAATTTAAATACCTCAAAGAGCAAAGCACAGTGAGGTTGAAGGCGAATGCGCTCTCCATTAGCTAAAGTGAGTAATTTATTATCATCCATCACCGAATTCATATTTTCAATCCATAAGGCATCCACATCTCCATCAAATAGAATGTATCGTCTCTCTGGTTTGTCAGGCTGCTCTAAAGGTTTGTTTATGTCTCTGAATATTTTGGACAAGAGACCATCAGTCCAGTCTCGAGATGCTGGATCTAAAATACCATATAGCTCAGTGACAGAGCAGGCCTAAAATAGTTAAAGAGAATGAAGTCATGTTTATTTTTTAAAAATGGGAGACGGCAAAGCACATTTCAGAAAAAATAAATGGACAATTACCTTTGGGTTGAGAATGTACAGTTTAGTGGGCAATCCCTGAGCATTTTGTGCCTTTACAAGTGTTTCAATTACAACAGTTTTACCACCACCTGTGGGTCCCACTATCATAGTTGAATGACGAGTCATCATTGTTTCATACATTTGTACAACTTTATCAACCTGAATTTGAAAATATTTGTAAAATATACATAGGTACATATATAAATAAAAATATATGTGAGAAAATACCTTAGGCCTCAAAAACAAAACAGTATAAAGCTCTACTAAAATCTAAAATTTTGTTACCTGTTCAGGAAGAAGTATATAGCCATCACTTTGCAACGCCTCTTCAACAGCAGTGTTGAAGTTTGGGTATGTCACTCGAGGGCACTCTAGGCCAGGGAATAGGTCTTTAATAAGACCTAGGAATAGAGGAACATCTTCATACACAAACTTTGGCAAATTCATGTCTCTAAAATAAAGTAGTATGGTGAACAGTTATTATCCCTTTGTACAATTCCACCTTTTAAACTATGGATAAAAATGAAATTGTTATACCTCAACGCTCTCATAAGAACAACATTTTCAGGAAGATCAGGTGAACCTCTCTTCAATTCACCAGCCATTACAAGAACTGACTTCAAAGCTCGCAACCCAAAATCATAATGATTTTGTTTAGAAAGTTGGCCTTGGGCAAGATGATATAATACAGTCATTTTTTTGGCTAAGACCTAAAAATATTCAATTTAAAAACAAAGAAAACTTATTTGCAAACCGAATTATAACTATACCAAAATACATCACCTTAGCTTGTAGGAAACCCTCTGAGAATAGCATTATTTGGCAAATTTGTTCCAAATCAGGTACAATACACACAACTGGTCGGAAAAGTGCTTTAACAGATTCAGGCAATTCTGTTCGACCAGCATATCCTGGGTTCATAGTGATGAAGACACCAACTTTTAAGTCCATAGCTATTTCCTGGCCTTCAAACTAGAAAATTGAGAAAAATTAATGTAAACAGATATGTTGAGGTAACAAGAAGAAATACACAAGTAAAATAACACACATTAAAACGTGACATTTTCATGATCAGGGCACTTCGAATAGTTTGCAGCTGAGTGGAAATGACAGACAGTACAGAAATGTCAATTCTATTAAATTCATCAAAGCAGCCCCATGCTCCACACTGACATAGACCGGAGAGAATTTTCCCAACAGCTTTGTAATCCATGCCTTCACCACAGTTTGTAACCATACAAAGTAAACCTAGAGCTTTTGCCAAATCTTTGGTTGTCTCAGTTTTGCCAGTTCCAGCTGGACCTATGTAAGCATAAAGTAAAATACATTAATACAGTTAAGGAAATAAAAACAATTAATATTAAGACAAGAAGCAATTTTAAAGTCATACCTGCAGGAGCTCCACCAAGCTGCATTGACAGGGCTTGTGTTATTGTGAGGTAGATGCGATCAGTTAAAGGAGTAATCACTAAGCGGCCATTCAGGCCCATATACTCATATCCATATTCAAAATTTCCTGCACAAACACACACAAAAAAAGCAGCCACTTTATAAGAACTTTAATATTTCCAGGAATTTGAAAAGAATCAGTGTTTCCTACCAGTGCATTGTATGACAATGAGGTTGTTCACATCTTTGATCCAATAAAACCGCAATTGGCTCTCCCAACTAAATTCCTGTGCATCCATCACACTATCCCTGACAAAGTTCTCAATAATATCTCTGGTATGTACGTCAATTATCAGGACAGTATTAAACTTTTTACGATCATTGCGGCTCAGGTTTTGCCGAACCATGACGACCAGCTCATCCAGTTGGTTATTCATTTGCTCAAGGTATTCCCGCATTGCCTTTTTGTTCCCTCTTTTTATTTTTTCGAACACATTTTCAACCTCTGCTGTCCACCACACTTGGTTGCTGGCTAACACAACCATGCCTTGGTAATCTAACATCCAATTACACCTGTAAAATATAGGAGTAAAATGTACATACCGAATACAAAATATTGACTCTTTATGTTTTTACGTACCTTGGACGACGAACTTTCCCATAATCATAAATTGCCTTTTTTGTTATATAATGATTGCTGGTACGCATTTCAGATAGGACAAGATTCATCCACTCCTCAACCCGACCCTCAGCTAAAACATGTTTTTTAAATTCCATGATTTCTCCTTCACATGAAATCATAGCAGAGGCAATGTTACAGTCTTGATTATCTTTTGCCAATTGTAAGCTTGCAATATTATCAAACATCTGAAAGTTTACAGATATTTTTAAAACATGTCATCTTCAGCAAACAAATTACACCTCAAAACGCATCAAGAAACACACCTTGACCATATGTTCTTGACAGCATGTAACTTGGCTGCTACCCAAAACTGAGAGCAATTCATCATCAGAAAGAAAGAAGAACCTTGGGAAAGCATTCCGCTTTGATTCAAGGTAGTCATTTAACATTTTTTGACACCTCTCAAGTCCATATGTTAAGGCCTGAAGATCAGCCAATCTACCACTTGGAACAACACAACAGTCCAAAACTTTGGGATTCCGTGCTGTATCAAACATTATCTAAAACAGGAAATTGTATTATAGGTTGACTTTAATAATGCCTAATTTTGAAATTGGGCAACATATTTTTTGTTACCTTGCGATAGCTAGCATCAATTGAATCAAATTTCTTGGCTTCTTCAGGTAGTTGATGGCGAATATCACCCTCAACAAAAATTCCCTCCAAATAAAGCCATTTTCTTTGAACACTTGTCCATTCCTCAAGAACCTCCCCTATTACAGCTAAGTTGTGTTCCCATCTTTGCACTACAGGCAAGAAAGGGCCCACAAACCTGGTTGTTTACAAAAACATAAATGATGTAAATACTTTGTGGGCTTCAAATTGAAAAGACACAACATTTAATTAAATGCTACTCACTGAGAGGCTGACATACTCTGCAAGCTCATTGTATGCTCATCAAGAGTTTGCAAAATTTCATCGACAGCTGATAGTAAATATCCTCTATCTTCTGATCCCTTTAGATGTTTGGTAAGGGTAAGACTTAGCTTTGTCCATGTTTCGGATATGTCTTTGACACCTTTTTCAATACTTAGCTCCTTCACTGCATAGCCAATTATTTCTAGAGCAACATCAGTATAGCGGGCTAAATCCATGGCAAACATATTTTCTAAAGTGAAACGATCAGCTGCCATATCAAAATGCTCTCCAGTTTTATCCATGAGAGTTTTCCAATGTCGCTCTCGCATTGCTTCATTTTTCAGCTCAACATAAAGAGGGACACATCCTTTGAACTCTTTCATGCGCTTTTCAAGGGTTTTGGCAACTTCCAATTGTTTTGCCCCTTTTGGAAGCTTCTTCCACTCTTTCAAAAAGCTTTCCATTCCATCAACAAGCTCTACTGGATTCAGGTTAACCCAAAGAGTCTTAGACCAACCATCCCTTGCTGCTTTTTGAGTTTTATATAGTTGAAATATAAGTTCCATATGGTTAAAGTCATCTACTGCAGACAAAAAGTTTGAATAGTCAGTCAATGGAAGATCAAAGAGTCTCTCAGCTGTTTGCATATCCACTTTCTTCTTAAGGAGGGCATTAATTTCATCTCTGTACACGTCCATGAGTCTAAAACCTCTCTCAAGATCGTCACCCACAGAGCCAGGACCTTCAGCAATGAATTTCTGCACAAATGCATTACACTCTGCGAGAAAGTCATATATTTCATCTTGAGTCGTAATGGCAAATTTAGCTTTGGTTTTCTGGAGATTACGAGATCTTAACATCGCAGCCACATAAAGTTCTTTCCATGCTTCTGGCAGAGTTGCCGCAAGAGTCTCATCAGATTCATTTACAGAAATATTGTGTGCTCTGAGGGTCTTGTAGCGTTCCATTACTTCATTATACAATAATTCAGCACTTACATTCATACTCAGAACAGTGCATATTGTTTGTAAAACTAACTTAAAGGATTCAAGATCTTGAATTGGGCTCTGCAAATCTCTCTTCATCTCATTTAATTGATTACAAAAGTCATGAAGCATATCATGAGTATTTTCAGACAAGTGTTGTCCAAGGCACGCTTTCCACTCATTGGCATGGTATGTAACTGCTTCTTTAAGAGGAACCAGGTTAATCCTGATGCAGAAAATATCTTGAAAAGAAGGAATATCATTCAAGTCAGCTATACGCTGTGAATAAAAACTGAACCTCTCATCATACTGCAAGAGTGATGGATTTTTCATTGCAAACTTTTCACAAGTTACAACTTTGTCAAATGCCCAAAGGTTTCTGTACCTTTTCCACCTAAACAAGTATTTTTGGACTTCATCAGTAACTCTGCGTACTGTTTCTTGAAGCTTTAAAAGCATATCATTTACTTGTTGAACTTGCACAAGATCTTCAAACATGGTATATTGATGAGTCTTGTCAGAGTCAGGCCATCGTTGTAGAGGGCACTCCAAACAAGTTCCATGCATCCATCTGGGAAATGACTTTAATCGTTCAAGAAAGTCCTTAATACTGTGAATAACAATATTATATACTTCTACAGTCGTGGGCCTCATTGACACATCTGGAACAATCAAGAGGGTTTCTACTTGAAAGTATGCAGTGTTGCCCACGAGGAAGCGATCAAAATCAATTAAATTGCGGAGAACAAATTTAACAAATGTTGAAAATGTTCGGCTTTCCCAGGACTGATATGAGTGTGCCATGACAGGAGCACGACCACTACTAGTCTGTAAGACCAAACCTTCTAATTTCATTAGCACTGGTCCCAGGTCGCCATAAAGACTCATCATTTGGCGAACACTTTCAGATCGTTTAATATCCATCTCTGCAAAAAATAATTTGCAAGCCAAGACCTCTGAGTTGCTATCCGGAGGTCTAGCATAGAAAAGATTGTGCTGCTCCAGCTGAGTAAGTCGATGAGAGACCTCCACAGACACTGCTTCCATTTGACTGACCAGGGATACGAGATTTCTCAGAACTTGCTGACAGCCCACAGCAAAATCTCTTACTCCTTGTGAGGTCCAATTGATTCTGCAAAGTCCTGGTTGCATTTGCTTTTCAACTTCTTTCAAATGAGACTTCACGAACAAAAGTTGTGGAATATCCAGACGATCAACCAAGTTGTTATAATCTGCTACAAGTTTTGAAATGGCCTGATAATCTGCATGGAATCTGTCTTTCTGATGGGCCACCATAATTATAGGAACTGGTAAATCGTACCCAAGTATTTCCAGGAGCTCAGCTTCAGCTATTATGTTTAGTAACTCTGAATCAAAATTAACCTCCATCCTCAAATTGTTTTCTACAAGGACAGTGTCTCCTATAAAATCTTCCCAAGTGAAAGAATATGAGGGTCCAGGAAATAGCATTTTTTGATTGCTTCCCGTCTTTGAGCGTCCTCTTGCTGCCCATTTCAATCCAATAGCCACAGATCCTAGACCAAATGCCTGAGAAGCCCCTTGACTGAAAGACATCATACTATGTCGAGTTGTGATAGCATTTGAGTGGCCAATCCGTGTTACTGATGACTGACTGGATGTAAAAGTTTGTTGGGATCCCATGCGTATTATGCGTGGTGCAGATCTCTGCATACCCATATTGTGTCTACGACCATTACGAGATGAGAACTTGTTGCTCTTTCTGAAGCAAGCATCTGAAAAGTTGAAAATTTTAAAAAAGAACTATATGCATAGATTGTTTTAAAATTATTATTCCAACCTCTGTGGTAAATACTTACGGACACTCTCTTCTAAGCGCATCACATTTCGAGTCATAGCCTGCCTAATATCCTCTTGAGCTTTGGCAATCCAAGAGTTGATATGATTCAGTTCAAACTGCTGCATCTGTTTCCCTAATTGCAGGTAGTCGGAAAAAGCCTGAGAAAAAAAATGTATCTTAAACCTTGAATTTTGACTTTTAAAAAATAATAATGGCGCTTTGGCTAAAAAATTGTATTACCTCCTTCATCAAGTCACATTGCTTTAAATCTTCCACATTTTGGAAGACAAGAACTGGACGCTTAAGAGTTTGAAACAACAATCTCTCCCAAAAGATAGCTCCTGCGATGGGAGGCTGATTGCGCAGCAAAGGAGGATGGCGTTTTCCTTTCTAAATAGGGTACAGAAGTTTTTCTAATAAGAGAAAAAAATAATTAGAACAGAACTAGAATGACTTTTTAGAACCTTACTGTGAAGATGTGTTCAATATTTGAAACTTCTTTGCTAAATTGTTGCATGATCAAATCAAACTTAGTCATAAGCTGCTCTTGAATAGCTTCTCTTGTCTCCATATGCTTGAACTTCAATAACATTTCCAAAGCCTCAGTTGATGATCTGAAGATTTAAAATTCATTTTTCTTATTAACAACAAAAAAAAAGGAGTAATCTGTTAAAATTTGCATTGTAAACCAAGGATACCTGAGTGCTTTAAAAGATTCATCAATGAAAAACTTTGCCTCTTCTTCAAGTCTCCGTACATGCTGCTTAAATGAGCCCATGAGGGCGTCCCAATTCTCCGCGTAGCCCCTGGAGTAGATATCAAAATCTGCACTTTCAATGGGAACCACTAAGGCTTCGACTCTTTTCACAACAGCATCAATTTGAGCTGGATCACTTATTATAGATTTAAGCTCCTGGCCAAAGATGTTTCTAAACTCTTGAATAATCTAGAATTAAATACAATTATTATTTTTTACATAAGTGAATTAAGTTTAGAAATTTTTAGAACTTTCATATGGAAGTTTACTTTGGAAACTTGATGCAAATCTCCACAAACTTTCGCAATGTAATCACTGTTTGCAAACAGCTTGTTCTTATCAAATTCCCAGCGTTGGCCTTTGCCAGAAGACTCAATGCGAGCACGGGTTTCCATGTAACAGCTACGCCACATCTGTAACATTTCTTGAGCTTCTTTAGTTTGTTGCAAAATTTGAATCAGAGGACGTCTGTGGAGAGAGTGTAATTGACAAGTTAGAAATGATTTTAACTTAAATATATCCTTCTGAATTGTTAGTATGAGATAGTCATACTTAAATAGAGTTTTAACTTGAAGGGCTGATGATGCCTTGTTGCAGAGTGTGCTTGATATTCGAAGCAAAAGGGGAACCATCTGTTCCTCATTGCAATAAAATCTTGAGACCACCCACAGGATATGAAGTCCATCAATAAGAGCAGGTAAAGAATCTCTCACTACACCAAGATCTTGGCAATTTTCAACAGTCTGCACAGATAAAATTTGACATCTGAGTGAACCTTGCGTGTTATGATGTAATGCAAAATAAAAGTCGATGATTAAAAGTGAAGACTACCTTAAAATGCCGAACAACAGTAGACAAAAACTTTACATTATATCTTGCTTGTTCATAATGAACCATAAATTCAGATTTAAAATTTTCAAAATACTGTCCTATGTTGGAAGATGCAGCAGCAAGAACATCTAGTACCAAAAGAACTGTGGGGGCTTTGAACTGTTCCACAAGTAAACTAAGTCCAGCATCTCGCTCTTGCCAGTACTCATATTCAGCTAGAGGACCTTCTCCAACCGGTTTCTGTGAGCGTTGTAAAAGTTAAAAACATATCATGCAGAGTCAAAATTTTATAATAACATTCATGAAGCCTTTACCTTTGCTAAAAATTGATCAATGACGCTATCTATATGTCTTTCCCATGAGGTAACAATCCCCTCTAGCTCAGTGACTAAGCTAGGATCTGCTGCAAGAGTTTCAGGAGTAGCTCCTTGAATGAACAAACTGGGGATATCAGGAACACGGAGCATCATATCTCCCTCAAGATGTTCAATCGTCCTAAAAGATGGAAGGTTTTAAAAATAATTTTAAAATACATAAAAATCCCTTGAGAGACTGCTTTAAAAAAACAACAAAAAAACGTGTTACCAATCAACAGATGATATAAAGGAATTTATATCACTCAATAATTCTTGTTTTGTAGGCATATTTCCATCTTCAACATTACTTTCATCAAGGTGCTTCCCAGGCCCATCCCCACTTGGGCCAATAGATGCTGCTGATATAGCAGCATTCAGAGATGAAGAAACTGCTGACATTTGCTGCTCTTCCGCGATCTGAGCTGCTTCCAAAACTTCTTGAGCAGACTGAATTGTTGCATCTGAAAGTGAGCCAATCTCTTGCTTAGGGACTGGTTTTGGTTTTTTCGCGTTCTTTTCAGTCTGTAAAACATAATCATCGATAACTGATTTAAGATTAAGAAGTATGGAATTGAGCAGAAAACTGCAATATATAAATTATATTTTACCATGAGTATGTTAAGGCACATACGTCGATAATCTGAAGGGCGTTTAAATATAGCACTGCTCACTACTGATGATGTATCATGTTCACCTTCAGAGGAAGAAGTTGGCTCTCGAAATTGCTTTTGTACTAATGGTATGTAGGCCTTTGAAGAAATTTTTATTGAAAGTGGTGTTTTAAATCCCAGAAACAAAATAATTGGTAAATTTAGGCACTACCTACCTGTTTCAAAAGTTTTGCCATTGAACTGATAAAATTAGATGAGCAACAGCCAACTATAAAATGCCTGGGCATATCGGCAGCAGCATCACCCGGACCTTCTGGCAGAGGAATCCCTTCCTCAGATATTCTAAGAAAGTACACATACTGGCGTCCTGGAGCAGATCTTTCAGCTTCATCTAACATACCCAAATGCCCATACAGCTGAGGAGCATGAATGACTCGCTCAATGGTTTTCTGAAAAACAGTTCAGATAAGGTAAATGTTGAAAAATTTCTGTAAACTCCAATCAGGGTGCAAGAACAAAAAGAAACTACTTACAGAAACAAAAATGTACTGAGGTTCTGGAATCTCCTCCACCGCAGGAACCATCTCTACCGCTAAAATTTAAAATAATAAATAGAGTAACACAGATACAAGAAACAACTGAGGAAAATGCCAAAAAGGATGAGTGCCTAAAAACTAAAACAAAATGCACTCACCAGTTGTGGGACTTTTCCTCCCCTTTTTAGTTTTCTTCTCTTTCTTCCCTTTCTTTCCTTTTTTTCCCTTTTTCTTGGTTGGGGTCTCCGGAGCTTCCAGGTCTTCTCGTGCTGCGTCTCCTTCCCCTCCACCACCTGGATCTTCGAGCTCTGGGGACGGGCCTTGTTCCTCTGAGGACATATAGCCAACATCTTCCTCTGCTGCTGAGTCCTGCTGAATGTCATCATCAAAAGGACTTTCTCTCTCCTCTTCCTCAGCCCCTGACCAAAGGAAAAAAACAGAACAAGATAAATGTGACTATAAATTTATATTTGGCTTGCCTCAAATTCTTTTCAATTTGATACAAAGCCTTCAAACATCTAAGTATTCACCTTCATCAGGAGAAGGCGAAGACTGAGCAGTTCCAGCCTCGGACCCAGTTTGGGCCTCTGGAGACTCAGACCTGTCTTCGCCTACTTCTGGTGTATCTTTGCCCTCTGATGTGGGTTCTTCTGGCAGAGGTTCCCCATCTTCTCCCTCTTCAGTAACTGCTTCAACAGTCTCTACTGGGCTACTTCCAGGCAACTGTTCGTCTATAGGGCTGTCTCCTGCCCCATCTCCTTCACTTATTTCAACCTGGAGCTCTGTTTCTGGTTCAGCAGGGACAGGAGGAGGGGAGTCATCTCGGTCTTTCTTCCCCTTTTTGACTTTCTTGGCCCCTTTAGCCCCTTTCACTCCCTTCACACCCTTGCCCTTGCCTTTCCCTTTCTTTATGATAGGTTCTGGTTCAGGCTCAGGAGGTGGAGGTGTTGGAGGAGCAACTGGAATGGAATAGATTCAATAGAATCATTTCACAAAATAATGTAGAAGTAAATTGTATTTACAAAATTATGTTTTACCCTCTTCTGCCACCACAATTTCTTCCTTCACAATTTTTTCATAATAAGTCTTGTACACAAAGAATAACTTTCTGCCAATATCGTGAGCTCCCATGATGTCATCGTCAAGGTAAGACAGCAAACGATCTTCCAGTTCTCCATCATTTCGAGCAAGCATGTCATCAAATAACTCCTCATCCTCTTCATCAAGGAAAGCCAACGCTCTTTCTTTTACCCAGTCCAAGCGGTAGTCAGCCATTTTAAAATGGTCTCTGTAACAAATCTTTGTAAGTTAATTAAAAATTAAATACCAAAGAACACTAGTCTGCCCATGTCTTACACAGATTATATCTAGGAAACTTCAAATTAATTTAAAAATGAGATAAAATATGTGAATTCAAAATTCAGTTAGGAATTTTGTATTTTGATGTAAAATCATTCAGCTCTCTGTGTTGACGTATTGCATTTACAAACATTTAGATGAAAGAAACTTCATACAGTTTTATAGGTAGAGATGGAATGCTAAGCTTAAGGATTATGGAGAGGCCTTGGCGCCGAGTGGAAACGTGTTCCTCCGACTAATCATGGGAGGCAAAGGTTCAGGAATATAAGAGGTTTAGTAAGATCACAACGAGGTTAGGGTGCACTCCTGGGTGGGAAAACTTACCGTGCTATCTTCTTATTCACTTGATGTCATCTCGCAAACTGATGTTAATCGTCACCCACACTCAAAATTGGAGCAAAAGAACTCCATTGAAGGTGGTATTCCGATGGAGCAATGGCAACGAAAAGCAAGCACGCAGTCGCTGTACAGCAATTCCAGCCGAGTTGTTTACAAACAGAATTATCGTTGCCATGGGGTTTTCGAAGTGTTGGCGGGTGGGATACTGTCCTCCCTTCTCCCATCCATGCATAATTACAGTCGCAAGCCATGTTTGAATGTTGAAACCTTAATCGATCGCAGGAATAAAGTTCTCAAACACAACCCACCCCATTTCCGCAGCAACAGTCTGCTTCAGCCTGCGAAGCTGAGGATAGGCAAGCCACTGGACACCGCTGTCTTGCGGGCGTGCGATATCATCTGGCGTCCTGGAACCCCTTCGACCGTAAAGGGCAAGGGTGTAGCCTACGTGTAAGGTGTGCATTTTAGACACATTTTTCTGCAGGTAGGTACTCTAAAAGCTACAGAACCTAAGGACGTCTGGTCTGTTCCCCCTCCGAAAACCTTTAAACGCCTGTGCATCATAACGCGTTCGATAGCTGTCTGGGAACATTTCTTTTGTGTGTTTGTTGTAAAAGCTGACCGTGGCGGACACATACATCACCTAATCGGCATGACGTTAGTAAAGAGTAGAGAGCGACAAAGAGGGAAAGAGGTGAAGGCAAAAGGGGGAGGGGGGGGGGCAGCCGACACGGCGCCGCGCCGGGCGCACTGGCCACCTCCTGGCGCCCCTGTGCCCCGGGCGCGCCGCGACGCCCCGCTTTCACAGGCCTCCCGTGCGCCTAAAAAAAATAAAAAAATGATAAAACTAAAACTAATGTTTAAAAAAAATTATTATTAAGAAAGGCAGCTTCGGAGGTTTTATTTAACGTCATTTGGCATTGCATACAAGTAGGCATAAATCACATACATCGTAAAGTGTCATGAGGAACAACAACAATTATAATAATGTAATAATAACAACTACCACTACGAAAGGTATGGTTGTAGGTGTGTGTAGATGGGGCGCGGAGGGAGGAGGGGTGATGGGAAGGGGAAAACTAACGCTCCCCACCTTCCCTCGCCCCAACTACAGTGGCAGCGATTCTATCGTGGATCCACCCTCCTCACGGGTACCTGAGCACCATACACTCACATATCACAATCCAACACATTTACAATCCAACACATATTTGAAAGGAAACAACAATAATAACAACAACACAGGGATTATCTCTACAACATTAATATAAAAAAAACAACACCGTCGCATCACACATAATCACAATTTAAGAAAATATCAGTCGTCGTCAAACAGGATGAGATGTATAAAAGACTCTCTAGAGAGTCATCATCACCCGGGGCGCACCGGGAGGACACGGAGGCCGTCCTCCTCCGCGCCACTCCGCCCGACGATGCTCAGAGCCATCCCCAGCTGTGCCGCGTAGTAGGTGGCCATGATGAGCGCCTGCGAGTGCGGGATGGGGCGGTGGAACATGTGGAAGCCGATGAGTGCGTCCGAGGCGGCGAACAGGAGGCCTCCGACGCGCGGGCACAGGCCGGACCAGGGCGCCGTCGGGCGGCGGGAGGAGGCCACGGCCCGCCAGAGCATGGTGGCCAGGACCAGGGCGTACAGCGGCACGCCTAGCGCCAGCGGGCCGGTGAGGGAGGGCACCAAAAAACTCACAGCTGCAATCAAACGAATCTAAGCGGTACAAAGCTGAGCCACAGAGCCATGCTAAAACACCCTATGCGCATATTCTTTCTTTCCGTTTGTTTTCCGGTGTCAGTGAAAAGCCTAGGGACCTCTAGGGAGTTGCACAGTGCTTCTGTCAATGACACCCTCTGCCGTGTACCCACCCCAGGCGCTGAGCGCGTAAAGCGCGAGCCCCAGCACGGGCCGCAGCGGACGGAAGCCGAAGGCCGCGATGTACAGGAGGTGCGCGACGCCGAACACGGCCATCCCGGACAGGAAGTGCGCCGGCCACACGAGGAGCGCGTCGGCCAGCGCGGACAGCGCGAGGGCCAGCAGGACGCGTCGGGAGAACCAGCACCTGGCGCGGCGGACAGAGCAAAGGCGTTGGAGGAGGAGAAGGGCGGTTAAGCACATCGGGGAGAGCGAGATAGAGAGCACTTACTCCGGTCCTAGCAGGCCGAGGGTGAGGCCCTCGTGCAACAGGACGAACAGGACCAGGCTGAGGATGGGCAGCACCTTGACGAGCACGCCCGTCCAGGACGGGCCGCGCGCCTCCAGGTCGTCGTCGCCCGCCAGCACCACGAAGTACACGAGCACCGCCTTGAAGAAAGGCACCAGCTTCGGGCCCAGCGCCGTCAGCTGACGAGACAAAGAAGATATACACTCGAATAACGCGCGCCGCTCTGCCCCTGACCTGGCAGCCGACGCCGGCCTTCCCCAGGCCCAGGGCCGCTCGGCCGCTCGGCCCACCCCCACCCCCACCGCCCGTGGTTAAATCGGCGAGCGTGCTGGCGCCGACCGTTTCCCCAAACAGGACCGAGTGTCCCTCCATAACAATTCACTTACCCCTTCTCCTCCCGCGCAATCGATGTGCCTCTTCATGACACTCTCCCTCTCCCCTCCCCTCTCCCCGCCCGCCGAGATGTCAACAAGGGCCTAACTGGCCGACACACTCACCGCGCTGAGCTCAGCCTTGGTGCTCATCTCGGCGGTACCGTCGTGAGGCTCGGGAGTCGCTCCGCGAGCGATTGGGCTTCGTTTTGGGCTGGTCGTCTGACAGAAAGCGGTGCGGATGACGGGTGGGTAGCGGCCGCGGCGGCGGCAGCCTTGTTGAAGGCGGAGCGGACCAGTCGCGGTACTCAAGTCCAGTCCGTTGCGCCGTTAGGCGGGATGGCGGTGGACTTTGGCGGCTCCCTTACGCGAGGCTACAGGCGGTGGCGCGGCGGCGCGTACGCGGCGCGAACGAGTCGGCGGGGATGCGAGCGAGGCTACCGGGCCGCGAGGGAATGCACCAGCGGGCGGCAGTGCGGTGAGTGGTCACATCCTCCTCGCAAACCTGGAAGCGAAAAGCACAAGTTTAAGGGAAAGAACGGATAAAGTAAAGGTTGTTAGGGTGGACCAAAATTGGCAGAGTTTGTTTGTCACGCCCAATTTATGGTAGGGTTTCTTTTGCGACTGTTTCACAGACTGCCGCGAAACAACCAGTTTTACCAACCTAACGAACAAGTAGGACGGCTGAAATTCAGAAATGACAATTCACAATGACACGATGTTAGGATTTCTAAAACAGCACCGTAAATTTTTTAAAGAATAAATTCAGTATTCACATGGGACTACGTTCGATTTATTTTATACTTATTTCAGGTAGTGACGTGACGGTTGGCAGCAGTTGCGGGGAACTCCCAGGTGCGGGCGCGCAGCGCGCGAACTTTCAACACTATTAACTTGTCTGTGTAACCGGTGGCGTTTATTTACAAACAAATTCTACGTTTTTCGTGTTACGTCTTAGTTTGTGCGTTAGTAGTTGGCCATTGTTGAGCCAAAAAGGTGACGATGTCCCCCATTTCAACTTTTCCCTGGCCGCCGCCAGTGATAGCGCCTGCGACTCGTTGGGTAGGCTAACCCGCCACGCATCTGTGTGAAGTTGGAGGCCTGAGCGCAAAAGCGCAGGGGCTCCGAAGCAAGGCAGGTATGGAAGCTCAGAAAGCTTGCGGGTGTACTTAAATTGTCCGACCTATTTTTCTCCGACCTGGCTTCTATCCAACTCACGGGGGTTCGAGTCCCACCGGTCGCACCGGTAGCCGGGTCAAGCGATTTCCTCCTCTTTTGCTCTCAAAAAAAGCGCCGGCGGCTGGGCTTGAACCCATGACCCGGGAGTCCCCGCCCCGACACCTTTCCGCACACGGCTGAGAGACCGCACTCGTAGCTGACCGACTAGAACACAGGCTTACGACGCGGCGTGGGAAAGAAAGAGAGAGAAAAAAGGCGGGCCGGCCGGGTCCCAGGTGGGACTCGAACCCCCGGGTTGCCGACTGGTCGAGCTTCAGGTACAATGCGTAAAAATTCAAACATAAAAACGAATAATTTGACGGCGCGTCGAGTATTAGAACCCCCGACTCAGAGTTCAAATATCGCAGCTAAATCAAAGAGCCACGAGGTCGGGCTCGAAGCCCCAGGTGAGAGGGTGTCGTGATGGGGCCGGTTCTTCTCCCGCTCAAGCCACTGCGCCGGCTCGTGCCTTTAGCCAAGGTCGCTCGGCCACTCACACTGTGGCGCCGTAGCCGCGCCGGTAGAGAGACGGCCCCGTGCGGCACAAACCGGAGGTTCGAATCTCCCATTCCAGTTACATTTTTCTGAACCGGTCGAACTCTTGGAGTTGAACTTAAGCCCGTCATTTCAACGGGGCACCTTCGTGGATGAACGAACGGTCTGGTGGTTAACGCTGTCCCACTGGACTGGGGGTGACGATGACTCGGCACTGGGGTCCCATTAGGGGCAAAGGTTCGACCCTCGGCGAAAGCGTGCCGAGTAAGGGCCATCCCAGCCACAGCGGGAGTGGTAACCCGTGTGGAATTGATAAGTCCTTAGAATCTGGCTCCTCGAAGGGATTCCACGACTCGGAAGCTTTCCGCTCGGATCGCATCTGGGTGCAGTACAGGCTAACCACCGTACGCCCGTCTCCTCTCTTTCTAACTCCCTCCGCCCTACCCCCCATTCCCGGTCAAGCGGACTGGTGGGAACCTAGTCGATGGCTGTAAACTCCGGTGTGAGCGAGATAGTCAAGAAACCCGGCCCTCAGCTGGGTGCCTGAAAACACCGGATCCCATACCGAACTCCGAAGTTAAGCAGGCGGGTCCTCGTGTCAAAGCGGGGTGGGTAGGGCCCACATTTTTATTTTCATTTTTGATAATTATGTAGGTGAAATGAATCCGGCTCTAAGAGGTATTTTAACTGCCGGTTGCACGGAGGTGATTCACGTCAAAAGCTTAGTGCCACACTGCCGCACTGCCCGTAAGGCGCTCCGGCCACCCCTCAGGCCGGGAGGGGGAGAGGGTGGGGGGACAAAACATTTCAGTTCACGCTCTTACCTCGGACTTACTGGGTCAATGTCAAAAATTTTGAAAATTGTCATACCATGATACACACATTCAGACGTACGTAACCACGACAACACATCAAAAGATGGAGGAATCCTTTTTTCAAGTAGTTCATTGAACATTTCTGGGTATTACGGCAACTTTTTCTGCCGGAGATACTTTTCCATCCAGTATACCGTATTCTTTCGACTCATGACTGGATGCTTACGTCTTCGTACATTTACAAATTCGAGCTCTTTTTGAGATAACAGTAATTTACCCGACGTAATCAAAAAATTTTTTTTAAAAAAAATCCCAATCTATCGATGAATTATACCGATTTATGCGCGACGGCCACTATTACTGCTCCATATCGGGGTGTCTGAATATTCGTTCCCCTGATGTGCGGTAAGGAAGCGTTCGTCGGCCCGCCGTCATTAGGCGTCTCTCCGGGGAAGCAACAACACCGCAGATAGACCGTACCGGTTCCCTTGGTACCCGCCGGCCCTTTCAGAATGACATAGAAATCAGTTTCCCAACCGTACGTAACACGGCTCCGTGTGCCGTGCCTCGCTAATAAGTTGATCCGTGCTGTTCTCCCGGCGCCTCGCCGTGCTTGCTGCCGCCCCCGCCCCCGCCGCCTCCCACTGCCCGACACACGCTCAACACACTGTTCGCTGTTCCGGCGTGACCATTGTCTCGCTTCCGCCGCCCTGCCGCCCCGCCCCGTGGTGCGCAGCTGGTGCGCCCCGCGCGCCCCGCAAGGTGCAAGTGGTGGTATCCTTCCTTCGGGCCCAGCCAGTCCCACCCGTGCGAAAGACGCGGACGCCCTCCTGCGCGCCGGGCACAGGCGCGGTGTACGCCCGCCCGCCCCCGCCCATGGGCAGTCTCTAGGATGGTCGGGATTGCATCACGTCGCCAACGTTGTTCCCCCGGCGCTTTGATGAATGGATCGCGCAGCCGCCATCGCATCCTGGTTGGTTGCATTCTGAGAGATAAGCTGCACCGCGGACGCCGTCGGTCGGAGCGAGCCCGGCCAAGTCGCCACACTGCTCGTGCGCTGCGCTTTTGGGGCGAGTATTAGGGGCGCATTGTACAAGAACTTGCAAGAACCGCGCTCGGTTCGAGACATAGCTCCCCCAGTGAGAGCTCCATAGAGCGCAGTGCTCCGCTCCGCTCGGCCGTACGGTACGGCGTACACTCGTGTATGGGTTTGCGTTTTGTGGCATGTCCGCGGCCTCAAAGGCCATCCTCCTCCCCAGCTTGTCTTCTGGTCCGGCCCGTCCGAGAGTAGGACAGCAGAGCAGAGCGCTCCGCGGCGGCAGCGCGACATTTGAATACAAAAGGGCCGCCGCCCGGCCCGGCCCGGCGCACGCACCGCACCACCCGGCCTTGTTTCCTCAAGTAGGTTTCGTACTCAAATTCTGGGGTCACCACAAACAGCATTCTCCAGGAAAGCCAGCTGCGGCCGGCCGGACCGGGACCAGGCAGGGCCCGGTGCAGCGCGCAGCAGCACACGCCCGACCTTCGGGTCGCAGCGTGGTCCACATCTGGAGAACAATAACACACGTGCATGCAGCAGGTGGCCGTGCCTCGCACGTGCACGGCCGGAACTGGGCCACTCCAGTTTTTATTTCATTTTTTTCCCACTTTTCGGAGCATCGCAGTCAGGACCAGGCACCACGGCAGAGACAGCACGAGGGGCGAGAGAGAGGAGAGAGGGGGGCAGCATGAGCATGCCGACTTCTCTTGCTTCTCTCTCGCACCGGGGCGCAGCGGCCGCCGGTGGGAACCCTTGGCCAGGGCCGCGGGGGGAAACATCTCTCGGCGAGAAGTATTTCACTCTTCTCGTGTCGCCGGCGAAAAGCAGGGCGGTGCGTGCGTCTTGACCAACCACCCTCCCGGTATGGTTCCGTGACCGAGTTTCGTGTGTTTCACTGCGGGAGATGACACTTCGCGGTCCCGCTAACCCCATGATGAACCCTGAATGCGCGCGCGGGGATTCACGAGCAGAGAATGTGCGAATCAAGCAGAACGCCGAGAAGGGCCTGTGGCGCTCGCCCATAGATGGGGTGAGGTATGAGAGGGGGGAGATGCAGTGCAGCATCTCTTTCGGGTGCCGGTAGTGTGCAAGCAGCTGGGCAGGATGAGCGATGTGCCGGGCCGGCGCACCGGCATGGGCAGCGACCCCGAAGACCCGGACGCCGACCCCC